AATTATTTTTTGCCCCCCCCCCCATTTTGCCCCACCTCAAAAAAATTATTAGTCACTAAGAGCGACTAAAGGCTACACAAGCGTTCTGTCGTTATCGGAAAATGTATGGCTTATAAGTTGTCATTACTCATTAGTGAATGCGCGTATACATGAAACTGTTTTTTACAGTTTCAATATTAGCTTGTAAATCTCTGAATGGTAAAACTTGCCAATACTCCAATAATACGTTTCAAAAAAAGACAAAAAAGCTTTAGATTTGCAGAGTTAAATTCTCAAACGTGTAAGGCAATAATAAGATGAAAGTATCACGAAATTATTTTGAATAAACCACATCGCATATATGGGAGGCGAATGTCCTAAAGAGGGGCGATATTCCTAGGGTATTCTCCCCACCCCCCTGGGAGGCGATATTCCTAGGATATTCGCCCCCGGGGGGATATTCCTAGGAATATCGCCACGTTTTGAGGGGGGGGCGAATTTCCTGAGGGGGGCGACTTTTTTAAAAATTCTATCTTGGCCCCCCAAAATTTGAGTTTGCCCCTCAAATGCCCCCCCAAATTTGGAAGCCTGGCGCCGCCACTGTATAACAGACTAACAAGGCGGTGTTGATGGGGTATATTGTGAGTCGTGATTCACTCAATTTCGGTTACCGTCAGTCGTGAAAACACAGTAAAAATTTACCGTGAAGCGTGAGGGAAAAAATACTGTTTATCCTTTCAGAACACTTTTCAAAGATTTATGGTTAAAATACCAAAATTTTACCGTTAAAATACAAAAATTTTTACCGTTTACTGATTTTCAGGCCGCCCATCTAGACCCTCTAACAAACTAACAGATTAATAAAACAGCGGACTAACAAACGAACTCAACATGCAGTCTATATGACAGACGAACAAACTCACGCATGCAGTGAATATAAAATGATGCCAAACTTCAATTGGGCACTGCAATATTGTGTTATAGTTAATGCCCTTATTAGTGCGTGCCATTCAAACGGGAGAGGAAACGTCAACGTAGGAGCAATATTGAGTCATATAATAATATTGACGGCCCGGATAGTTGAAAATTATATTTTTTACCTGAATAATTAAAAGTTCAATCAGTATGCGTTTCATGGGTGTTGCAGTGAAAACGATTAGCTAATTAAATGCAATAAAGTTACAATAAGCATTTGGCCAAAATTTGAACGATTTACGGAATAGGATTGTTTGTCTCATCTCCATATTAAAAGTTTATTGGCTACAACCGGTCATATCCAAATTAAATACCATAGTACCATCTCCCTCCATATATACATGTACATCGCCACGTTTAGTTGTCATGCACTCTGGTAGCCCGTGCTGACTATTTTTATTCACTCATTTTCTTCAAAAAACAGTACAAAGAGAATAACTGTGTTTGCAGATCAGTATTAGTTAATCTAGACTATTATTTATTACAGATCATGCAGGCACTCATGCCAAACATTTCTAATTTCATTTGATATGTTCTCATCAAATCAATTCGCTATATATATATGACGCTAATTACCCAACACGTGTAGTGAAGTCTCGAAGAATATTTACAAAATAATAAAATGTTAAATATAATTATTAAAAGAATTATATATGATAGAGTTGCATTTAATTAACGTTATATTAAATAATTCCATTGATGCAAAGTACCTAATTAAGAACAATGAAAGGAAATACTTTAAATATTTTAATATCTACTTAAAAGTATTAAATACTTTTGTCTTATGGAATTCCAAATAAATATTTTTAACGATCTGATTTAACTTCATTCCAAATGTATTAACCTTTACGGCACAGTGCTTGGTTCCTTTTCCTTAATTGTTCTTAAATTGTTTGGGGGTAGTTTTGGTGTAGCCTATTGTATAAGCTATCAGTTAATTAAATAAGGTTTATAGTGTTGTGTCATGCTATTAAAAATCATTGTTGCAAATCGCAAGACAAATTTTCAAACAAAAAGTCAATGTACTGAATAGTATTACGTTCTTATTTTTTCCAGGAATTCCGAAAATGGTTTCTCCTTCACAAACTCCGGCTTCACGTGTAATCATTTCATTAATTGGCATTGCAGCAATCATTGGTAATGTACTTGTTCTCTGGGTTTACTACAGAAGACGAAACAAATCAGTGAAAACCGCATTCGATATATTCATCATCAACCTAGCCGTGTCAGATTTACTCGCTGGAATTTTTATTCTTTTTGGTCGGTTCGTTTTTCAGCCTCAGATCCCAGAAAATTACGAAAGTGCAATGACGTATTGCTACCTGTTATGGGGAGGTTTTATCCTATTCGGCTGTGGGCTTGTGTCTGTTTACACATGCTTAGTGTTGACAATCGAGCGTTGGTTGGCGATAATGAAACCTCATTTCTTTCGAAGGATAAGAGCCAAACATGCCATAGTCACAATAATAGCTGTCTGGACCTGGTCTTTTCTTATAAATTCCACAGTGTTTTTCAGCGTCAAAGCGAACTTCGATACACGATCTTGCTACTGGGTGGACCCCAAAACAGGACGAGCCTTCTTCGCCTTCATAGAAATCAGCATGTCCAGTGTCCTACCATTTTCAATTATTATCGTTCTCTACGCTCACATCTACTACAAAGTTCGCCATATGAAGCATTTAAAGGGAGGCAAAGAAGACTTCAAGAGACGACTCACCATTATAGCTTTGGCAGCTTCAGTGGCTCTAATTGTTGGATGGTTGCCAACTAAAATCAGTTTCATGCTGAGGTATACAAATGTTGGAGGGAAACATCTTGGACAAGCTGCTCATTTGGTCTTTATAATGTTAGCATTAAGCAATAGCTTTATCAATCCAATCCTGTACGGAATATACAGCTCGAAGTTCAGAGATGAATATAAAGAAGTGCTAAGTGACATACTGTGCAAGTTGACAAATTGTACTGATGAAGGGGAGGAAGATACAGAAATGACAAGTGATAATTAGAACAACCGTGCGCATGCATGCAGATTTTTTAAAACTGCCTTTTCGAACTTGCAAACTCAATTTGTCAGATAAGGCCAATAGACTATGCTAATTAAATTTGTTCTGTACAGCGATTTGATGAAATGTTTAGCTACAATAGCTATACGAAAACCATGATAGCGCTTTTGGTATCTTTGTTGAAAAGTAAACAAAAATATTCTGTACTGAAATATAAAGTATTGTATTTTGTAGTCTCAAACCTTATCACAATATAGAACTGAAATATTTGTCTAAAGACGTAGTGCTCCAAGTCCAATAGCCAAAGAAACGTTACTGATTGCAGCTATTGAAAACAGTTCTCGAATGTATAGCTATTATAGTTAACTATACCATTAATGGTTAACAAACCAATGAAGCTCATTAGCTATGTCTAGGAAATAAGCAAAATGTAGTCTTTCGTGCATGGTAAGGTGTGTAATGTATTATCGACAAATATAACAATGACGTACAGTGTTTAAATTAACTTATTGTTCAAATTACGAATTTCCATTTGTCCATGCCTGCACATGGAGAAAGATTGTCAAACACACGCACGCGCGTGCATGCCGACTATAAAGCCCATTTTGCACTGAGCGAATTAATTTGTTCGCGCGAACAGAAAAATAATAGGAATTGATCCAACTCTTTTGGGTCATTGATCCAACTTCACATTGCCAAGATTTGTCTTTCGCTGCGGCTTCACCTCGCGCGAACAAATTCGTCTATATGCATGGCTATAGGAAAATGGTCTTAACGAACACATTTTTCCATGATTAAGCAAGGTAAACTGAATCTCGATAATATCTTAGACAATGAGTTTTATGCATTCCCATGCATCGAGTTTTACAAGCTCGTATTCTATAATTAACTATACTTTGACTAAAGAAGATGTATATATATATATTACTTAACTACTAATGATAACGCAGTGTTGGGTTCAAAGTATTTCTTGTAAATATTCCAATTCTGAATTTTAAATATTATTATAATTGTCTTACTCAAAAATGGTCACTATATTATACCTGTATGATTTTCCAGAAATTGTTATTGTGCGACATGGAAAATTAATAACTTACTGACCGAGAGTGAGGGCAGTACGGGAAAATATCCAACCGAGGTCTTGCTGTATTGACCGATCGATAGCGAGGTCAATACAGCAAGACCGAGTTTGGATATTTACCCGTACTGCCCGAACGGTTGAGGTCGGTAAGTTTTTTATTATATGGCATTGCACGCTTGTAAAAAATGGAGAAAAGGTCACGCG